TGAGAAGGCTAAAGGACATGCTGCAGAAGCCAGACATACGCAAAAGTGCTGGAGATGTGAGGGTCTAAGCCCTGGGCAGGAGCCGGGTGAGCCCTCCAAGCAGCTGGGGAGTAATCCCATATACAACTCATCATGGCAAGGCGCAGTCACCTCCCATGCCAGGTTCCACTGCTGTCTTCCCCTTAGTGTACTTGGCCTCATCTCAGGGACAAGTGGTGTGCTCTGAGCTTCCTTTCATCTCCTTTTGTGCTGTTGTAGTGTCCCCCCAACCAAATGGTCCCCCGAGGACTGCCTAGAGCACCCTCTTGAGAAGTTTTTGGGGCCTCTTAGTGGGCACCTTTGCTCTAGCACTTACCAGAGTTGTGGATAGTGTGTTTATCGTATTAAACTGGAGTTTATCACGGGCTGGGACATGTCCTGCTCTTGACATCCCTGCTCAGGGGCTGAATGTGTTTTATTTTTGATGGTTTCTACATGGACTTTGCCTCTTGAGTTTGTTTAAAAGGCCAGGTTTGACTGTCAGCTGACGATTTGACAACACTCTGGTGTCTGTACTCTCCAAGGGGTGTTTTAGGCTGTGGTGTTTTATTTGACTTGATTACTGTCTAAAGATTGTTCCTGCCCATCTTAATGACATTTTACTTGCAGCAGGATGACTTAAGCAGTTTTGTGCTTTTCTTTAAATCGTAGGAGAACCAGCAAAAACAAAACACCTCCTGCCTCAGTTTATGTACTTACAAAGGCTCCCTCCTCTCAGCGCTTCCTCAGTGGGAAGGGGAAACAGACATGTTCTAATCCTTCATGTTCTCACAAGGACTTGCCTGCTCCTTGTTTTTTCCCCCCCACGTTGATTTTTTGGCAGCCCTGGGGTTTGAACTCAGGGCCTCAAGCTTGCTAGGCAGACATTCTTATGGCTTTTTTGATTTTTTTTTTTTTTTTGAGATAGGGTCTTGCAAACTATTTGCTCTGGCTGACTTCAAACCTCAACCCTCCTGATCTCTGCCTCCTGAGTAGCTGGGATTACAGGCATGAGCCACCAGCGCTTGGCCCTCCATATTGATTTTGATGGCACTGTAAGCTCTATGAAGACCAGGGACTTTATGTTTACCATTTGGTATTAAAACCAGTGCTTGCTACCTAGGAAACACTATAAATAATTATTGAATGATAAATCGAATGGTCAGAGAATTGGGAAGGAAAGTGGAAAGGTCATTCTTTAACTGTTTTCAATCCAGAGTACCACCAGTAGAAGGTAGAGGGCTGAAGCTCATTTTAGGAAGGGATGTCTGGGATCAGTCAACATTTTGAAGAAGCTGTCTTAGTCAAGGGGTGACATTTTGTAAAATAACTGTTGTTTAAGGGAACAGACCACAAAAGGAGGGAAATCCTAAGAAAATAAGTGACAGAAATAAGTGCAGATCAGTGTGCCATGAACTGTGCCTTGTGTCTTCGTGCTGTCTGTGGCACCACACCATACAGCCTTGTGGTTACTCACTGTTTTATAGACAGTTGGTTCTTTGAGGTTTGCATCTTCAGTAGGATTCGCTGGGCCAAGTTCAGCCTGGCACAGGTTCGGTGCATGGTTGTTGGATTTTGTAAACTAGTTGTTGGCCTGCAGGGGCTGGATCCAGAGTGTTGTCTGTTGAAGAATAGGACAAGTAGAATCCAGTTGTGTGTGTGCATTTCGAGTGAAAGAGAAGGCATGGTCCAGCTAAGAGAAGTCTTAGAGGCTATGTAGTCCACATCCAGTCCACAGGGTTAAACCACACAGAAAAGACCTCCTACTCTGGACTTTTGAATCCTAAACCCAGTCCTCACTTGCTCTTGTTTGTATTTTATAGTACCTTTAAAAATATTTAGATGTTTGTCTGATAACTACATAAGCATCATGAATGCCCTTGATCTTAACATTTCGTGTAAGATCTGGGCAATATCAATTCTCCTGGTGGCCATTGTAACTTTTTTCACTGTTTTGAATTTTGTATCCAGCATTCATTCCCTTGGCTTGGCTTACAGCAGAAGAATCAAAGTTCTACATTCATTTAAAATGTATGCTATTGCTTGTTTCTGGGCTTTCTGAAAATGGCTCCATCCTAGGTCATCCTTGGGGACCCTCCTCCTGCTGCCATTGTCTTTGTCTGTGGTCACCCATGTTGTTGCATGTAGCTGTAGGTCATCCGTGTTTTTTTCCTTTCGTGCTGTTTCCGTTCGGACCCCTTAGGGTTTGGGATGACTCCCGGTGAATGGCTCCAGTTAACTCTAATTTTAACTTTTAACAAGCTGTCAGTAAGCTTTCCCATGTTGCTTCACTTATGGGAAGCATTTAGTCATTTCCTAATTTAATGATGGTTAAACATCCTTAGCCCTAGAAATTTGTTGTGAAACATTTCCAATTAAGAGTAATTGCGATGAATGCAGAATGTGAGTTTGATGGTTTTGGGAAAGTGTTGTGGTCCTGCCAGCAAGGCGCAGTCACACTGACTGGAAGGAAGAAGGCCTTTCATGGCTTGCCCCCTTGGGGTGAGGACACATCAGCTACTTGGGATATGTGGAGGCTCCACAGAGGGTCAGAACAGTGTGGTGTCTTTTCACATTGGCCTTCTCTGGTCAGGTTACGTCTTTTCCTGGACTTAGTTTCTAATTAACCCCTTCTGAATCCCAGTGTGTTCTGGATTACAGTTTCAAATTAGCTAGGCTCACTTACAACCAAGTTTGCTTTTCAATTCTGAGGAGGGTTATTGATGTCTAGTTATTTTCCAAAGACCAGACGTTTTTAGGACTTGCAAGTGGCTTTGGATTAGAGTTGTATCAGAGCGTCTCTCCGCAGGTGCCTTTTTTGCAGACTGGCCTTGTCTTTGCCCACATTCTAGGAGCCAGCGTCCCCATAACCCCAAAATGATGATTTGATTGGAGTTTTTCATCCTGGGCTGTCAGCACCTGAGCCTGTGACTATTGTAAAGAGGCTGTCCTTTGCACTGTTGGAGGCTTAGAGGCATCTCTGGGCCCTCCTCATTAAAACTGTTTGACAGCGTCCCCTTCCCCAGCAGTGACAACCAAGAATGTCTCCATGCATTGTTCAGTGTCTCCTGGCAGTGAGTATGCGTGGGTGCCTACAAAAAATAAGAAACACTAGTTTACAGCTTTTAACAAGTTTCACGTGAATCATTTAGGGTTTCATTCTTGTTCGGGCTCAGGCAAGAGAACACAGCTGTTTGTGAAGTATGGACACGTAGCTCTAGTTTGACAACAGGAGAGTGCAGAGTTAAGTTGAGTGGAGGGGTATTATAAAATCTTTATATTTAAAAATGTTTTCTAAACATTTAAGAACTGTATGTACATTTAGAGGATACTCCATCAGTGAACACATTCAGCTTTATCTAAATCATGGTAGCACTCACTCTGAGAGGTACTCAGAACTGTCTCCACCCTGTGGATAAACAAAAGCTGGTAAAAGAGAAACCTGCTCAAGGTTGTAAGTTAATGAATGGCAGGCGTGGGAGTTGAAGATGTGTCTCTAGAGTCAAGTCTGTTTATTTGTGTCTACCCTAGACCCATGGTGTTAAAATACCTTCCCATGTCACCTCAGCCTCGGTTGACATGCACTGGTGTAGAAGTGTGTGACACAAGTAAGGGGTTTCTGGCTGCCAGAGTGTGTCATTAAGAAAAGCAAAGCCCCATAGGGTTTCTGGTGGGGGGTTTTGTTTTGGTTTTTCTTTTCTTTGCAGAGTAGCCAGTTTATTGTGTGTCTTAAAGTAAATTGTCATTGATACCCATTTTGAGCAAGGGACAGACTTTTTTCTTTTTTAAAGTCTGCTGTATATGACATATAAATCTCAAAATGAAATTGACTCCAGTTAGCAATGTGTTATGTATTTGATAGATAGAAAGTAGGTCTTTACCCCCGTGGCCTGCTCTTGGCTAACAGACTTGGTGTGGTAATACTCAAAGATTATATCTCATTACAGCCAAATGTGGCATTTTGAGAATTACTTTGTGTATTTTGTGAGACTCTAGCTTGTTGATTTAGGGCTTTCAAAAATTTAGTTTGGGCAGAGCAGGTTCTAGACACAAACCAGCGTGTCTCTGACTGGCAATTTTGGGGGTCTCCATCAGCATCTGTGGTTGTCTGCACTCAGAGTCCCATACAAAAGTTTTTGCCACTTTACCTGACCCACCTTTCCCATCTTATTTCTGAGGTTCAGCCTCTTGTGCTAGAGTCCACTGCATACTGAGTTTACTTTGCACTTTACCAGTCTTGTCCTCACTCATTCACTTTCTTCCTTCTTCCCTCCCTCCCTCCCTTTCTTCTCCTCTTTCCTTTCCTTACTATCTGTATATTTGTGATGACTGGTGCAGTACCAGTCTGAGAGCTCTCAGTAAATATAGCATAAATACTACATGAGGAGGGTGTCGTGAAGCACGCTGTACATAGCTTTAAAAGTGGTGCTCAATAAATGAGTACTTTTTATTCCCTCAGTGTGCCTAGGCGGCAGTCAGCATGGTTTATTTTACTTGCACCTGGAATGGGCTTCAAATCTTGTCCAGTTTGCACGGGGCCTGGGAAAATTTCCCAAGCCTTAGTTTAATAAATGATGCTCTTTTATTCTTGGTGTGCATTGCACCACTGATTCTTTACCTAGTTTCTTCCTTGGTGTGGAGCTCATCAAGACACTGTCTTGGTGGTGTTACCTGATGCTTATACCTGCACTGCAGCAAGGTAAACCTAACTAACCTACTACAAGAGTGCTTACCATAGTGCACCTGCACCTGCCAGGTCCACTGAGCAGAAGCACTGAGGAAGGGATTGCTGGACTGTGCAGAGAGGGTGCTCTGGAATGGGGGTGTGGACAGCCTGCACACGCACAGCTTCTCTCCAGGCTGTGGGCTCCTGCAGACCTGGCAGAGGCTCTTTGGGCCTTAGAATACCTGTCATGCAGTAACCAGAAGTAGTTCTTGTTATTGGCAAAAATGACTCAGGCATTTCTTTTCTCCCTCCACAGAGTGATCAGCAGCTGGACTGTGCCTTGGACCTAATGAGGCGACTGCCTCCACAACAAATTGAGAAAAACCTCAGTGACCTGATCGACCTGGTACGTGCCTTCTTCATATGGTTTCATTTGAGCCCGTGACTCATACTCACTTGCTTTCCTGCAGCTCTTTCCATGTGGAATTCAAAACACAGGAAACATTTTCTTTGCCTAGGCAGACACCAGCCCTGGGCCTGAGGTTCCTCCACACGGAGGGAAGATGAGTTTCATATGGTGGTCTTTCTCTCAGACCATCTTTGTGATAAGGCCCAAGATAAGCATCCTAAAGCTGATTGCGACTCCATCCCCACCCCATGTACATCTCGTCTTCAGTTTCTAGAAGCTTACTCGATTTAAATTTGCAGAGTTCAAGGCCGTATCTCCAGTAGGTGCTAGGTAAAGTAATTGCACCAGTTAGCCCCATTAACAGCACCTCCTCCCCAGGTGCTTTTGCAGCCTTGCTTCTACTTTGAAAGGTTTAACAAATAGAGCTCAATGTACCTATTTAAATTTTTTTAATGTTCAGAATGATTGTAGTCAACATGATACTTCAGAGTAACTGGCACCAAACTTTTACTTTGACATGCTAAAATAGTGAAAAAAAAAATCTGTAAAGCCACAAGAAAAATTGAACAGAAATAATATGAACTCTGGTCCCAGGAGGCTAGCCAGCTTCCCTAGATCACTGAGTTCCTGTGGGTTCTGGCACTTGCTTTGGAAGCAGAGCTTCTGTTTTTCTCGTTGGATCTCATGTCGTCTTGCATGTGATTGTCAGCTGCCAAATGTGGTTCTTTAGAGGGGTATCTTTTAAAGTAAGGGCTTGAAAACTTGTCCATTTGCTGTGGTGATTTATTTAATTCCATCATATGGATTTGGAAGAGTTTCACCAGGAAAAAAAACGTGAGCAGGAGACTGGTGTTACTCACAGAACTCTTCTGGCAGCCTGGAAGGTCCACAGTACAAATAGTTGTATTTTTATAGGGACACCAACTCCCAGCTGTGTGGCAAGTGTGTGAGACAGAATAGAGCCAATTAAAGGAGTTGTGAATTTTCTGTATTTTGCATGTAGTGATTCAGGAAGTAAAGAGGAGGAGGTTTTGTGAGGTCAGTGGTCCTGCTGAGAAAGCCAGCTGCAGGTATCTTATGCTAGAAGTGAAAAAAAAGTACAGGTATGTGTAAAAAAAGTGATGGTACAGGTCAGAAAGATCCACATTTCAGCGGAGTATGAAAGGATGAAAGACAAATTATGGTACAGATGAACCTGCCCAGGTGGAGAGAGAAAATGTTACTTTCATATTATATATGTTCAAGGTCAGAGCTCCCAAACCAGGAACCAGTGAGGTGAGGAAATCACTGAAGTGGGCTGGGGCACAGGTCTAGCAGGGGGGCCGTGTCTCTGCTCAGGCGTCAGATGTTCTGTTGGGAGTGCAATCCTCTCACTTGTTCCTTGTTTTTAGGTTTTTCTGGAGGAGCCTACATTTGGATATGTGTTGGCCTTTTCATTTGATTGGTTGGGTGTGATTCTGTGTAGAGCCTGGCACCAAGCGAGTGGGTAAACTGTGAGGTGGGAATGGGGCAGTGGCAGTGTGGGCTGGAGGGGTTAGAGGGTTGAGAAGGAGCGAAATATGAAGTTGGGCAGGTGGGAGCATCTGGTGGTCACAGGGACTCAATGTAGTACTAACTCTCCCATCAGCCCACTTTCTGAATGCTGCATGCAGAGCATTGTGCTGCTTCTTTCCACAGCCTCATTTTGTTCTCCACAGTCCTGCAAGGCAGCACCACAAGTGTAGTCTGGGAATTGCTCTGTGGTTCGGTCTTTTTCTTGGTTAGAAATCTGTGACTGACCCTGTGTGGAATTGGGAGTTTAGGAATGGGAGGAAGAAAAATATAGACAGTTCTGTAGCATGGAAAAAACAGGAGGTGGGGGTGGGAGGAGGTGGCTAGAAGAAGTATGGGAGTCACATAATTTTTCTTTTTAAAGAAGTGAGAAATCTGGTCTAGATGGCTCACACCTGTAATCCTAGCTACTTGAGAGACTGAGATCGGGAGGGTCACAATTCAAACTCAGACCCCCCATCTCCAAAATAACCAGAGCAACATGTACTGGAGGTGTAGCTCAAGTGGTTGAGCCTATTTTGCAAGTGTGAAGCCCTGAGTTCAAACCCTGGTTCCACAAAAACCACAAAAAAAAAAAAAAAAAAAAAAAAACCCTGGAGTTTTAAAATTTACATAATTTCAAAACAAAAATTAGAGACAGGAAAGAAATTTCCTTCTTAGAGCCAGGCTGTTTAGGATTAGCAATTCACCCTCCTCTGTGGCTTCATGGAGTGGCTTGAAAGGTGTCAGTTGCCCCTCACTGGGGTTGGATGGAAGCCAGCTTTTGGGGCCCTTGTCCTCCTAAGACTGGACAAGAGGCCATAGCAGATCCCTCCCCCACGTAGAATGGGTTGGGGATTTGAGACTCTCATTAATTTTTTAATTTAAGTATGTCGTCAAAATGAAAATGGAGCATAACTTGTCAACAAATTAGGATCTGGGACAGCATGCATCATTAAAACTCTAATGCTTCAAAAGCCACTTTTGATTAATGGCCTGCCTTCTTTGAGGTCCTTGTTATGTGCAGTACACATGTAAGAGGGGAATTGGGCTGGCATTTTGTGACCGGTCATTTTCCTTTCCTCATTTCTGCTTTTTCCTGTTTGGCTCAGGAATGACAGTTGTTCTCTTTTCCTTTTTAACTGAATTTGCAAAATGCTTTATTTTGTTAACAGTTGGTCTGTGCTAAGTGTCCTGTTGTGGCTCTGAAGTTTACATGCATTTTTAGTTTCTCCCCAAAGATGTAATTTCAGAAAATCCACACTGTTCTGAGTCTATCTAAAGGCCACATCACTGGGCCTTTGTCTCACATGATGTGGGGCAGGTTGGGTGTTTTTAGCATAGGGGTTGGTGTAAGCTGCAGTCATCCCTCACATGCTAACCTGCCTGAAGTAGAGAAGAGGAGGCTGTTGTTTGTAAGAAAAGTCTCCAGTTCTAAGACTGACAAGAATGTTAGGATTTGCCAGCATTCCTCCTGAGAGGAATGGCCTCACTTAGATGTCAGAGCCAGGGCACTGTAGGGGAATTTATCCGGTCCACTAGTGGTCCGATTACAGAGTAGCATTAAAGAGAAACTTGGTGTGTGTAGGGCAGCCAGGCCAAGGCAGCCAGTTTATCATGCCAGATCAGCTTTCTGTTTTCTTTCCAGCATTAGAACTTTTGCTGCCTTGGGATTATGATGCATGCTGTGATTGGTGGGAAATGACCATCCCTTGCAGATGGCCAAAACATCATTTTATTGCATATTAATCCCATTGTGCTAGAGTGAAGCCAGCTGAAATCTGTTGTTAAGCTCTTTCAGAAATACCCACACAGGCATGCGGGCCAAGAATCATGTGATGTGGTGCTCGCTTGGCTTTCTAAACTTTGACCTTCTGCAGCCATACTCTGCACCACTGGGAGCTAGAGCCGAAACTCCTCCACTTGGGTATATTTTGAGCTCTTAGCTGAGGAAGGAGTTTGTTTCTGCAGGTCAGCACCCAACAGACCATCTGTCCATTGCCTTTTTAAGAGCATACCAAAAATTAGCCCTAAATCTGTTTAACCAGGCAGGAGACTCTCTGCTTGCAAACATTGGTCACTTCGTTTTTTTAATTCCTTCTCTTCTTTTTTTCCTATAGTCACCCAAAGGCTTGGCTCTTGGTGTCCCCAGAGTTTATTCAAGCAGAGGGAAGACCTCAGAACTTCTGGCCACCCTGGCCAGGCCTGAGGTGGCGTGGAAGGGCACCCTGGTACTTGACAAGCCTTGATAAACCTGATCAGTTTTCCTTTCAGCATACTCCTCTTTTTAGTGGCCAGAATGGCCCTCCAGAAATAGAAGGGGCCAGCTGGGCACAGGGCTTTGTGCTGTCAGCCTCAGCAGCACCTGTGCTTTGAAACAGCTCACAGAAACTGTCCCCCATTGTCTGGGTGGTGTGAGGTCTGTAGGAAGATGGGTGTGACAGAGGCTGGAGTGCATCAGTGCACTTGTGTATTTGGGCCTTAGCAAACACGTGAGTGGAGGCCTATGGTGGACAAGCCCAAGAATCTGCTGTACAGCTCACTCGCCTGAGTGATCGATGGGTGAAATTAAGGCTCATACTGTAGTTAATAGTTCATTAATAGTATTGATTAGCAGAATAGCTAAGCACTTTTATTCAGTTTAGTAACCAATAAAATAATTAAGCTAATAAAATCTGGAAAATATGTTTCTAATGACAGCTGTGTGAAATGAAACATAAAAGAGCATAAAGCCAGGTGGTAAAGGTGTGTACTGGGGACCCAAGATGTCACCCCTGCCCTTCGAAATCTTGAAGGTCAGACATGACCTGCTGCATCTGTGTTCTAGAGTAAGCAGGTTTTCTTGTTACTAGTTTCCCTTTATCATTGTCATTTAAAACAGTCTGTAACCAGCATTTTTCCTCCTTTCTTTCAAAGACACATTTAAGAATTTTCTGAAGGGGTCTCAGCATAAGTAGGTGAGAAGTTGATATGTTCAGTCAACATTGATCCACACCTTGTGCTAGTTCAAGCTCTGTGTGCCAGGGAAGAAGCGCAGCCTGTATTCCCTGGCTCCTCATCGACAGGGAAGAAAAGGGGGATTCCACAACTTGGTACCTGAAGAGCGTGACCTCATGAATCTCTGGTGACCACTGGTCACCTACCAGTTAATAAGCCCTGAAGATGAGGATCAAGAGCAGCAGAACTGGGCTATTCTTCCTACAAGTGTTTTTTTTTCTAACTTCTATGTGTCAAGTGCTGTTCTAGGGGCTGAGGGTCCAGTGGCGGGCAAGGTGAAAGGCCATGGTCAGCTTTGTACTCTGTGTCTGTCCAATAAAATCAATAGCAAGTGCACCTACTCCTTCTCACTTACATGTAGAGGTGGTATGGGCTCTATAGTGGCTCTGCCCACCTCTCAGGGTGCTTTTGTCACTCTTGGCTGTTGCTAACCACCTTTTAACTGGCCTCTGACTGACGCACACCTTGGT